AAGGAGAAGAGACTCAGGGCGACCGCGTTCAACAATGCCACACCGTTGCTCCCACTCAACTGGCTTGGCACGATTGACCGCTTCATTGCCCCAATCTTTCTTGTCAAAGGTTGTCTCATCTGCTGCAACGTCCTTCCAAGCATGGCCCCTTCCAAAGATAGTGTTCTTCCCTTCTCTTCAGCCCATTGCTTCCTCACATCTCGCAGGTTCTTGCTCAGTGTCTCAAGGAATTTGTGGTTCACCCCTAGCAAACGATGGATGGAGACACGAGAGACGCGCTGTAGAAGAAAGAAGCAGAGCAGCAGCCTGTTGTTGGAGACTAGACGCTCGCTTGCCGTCGACAAAGAGGATATAGATGATGCGGGTTGATGTAGGTCTGGCATCCTTTGGCATTGCAGCGATGTCTCAGCATGGCGCCTACTTTGTCTGGTTGAAGAGCAGACAACTTGCCAGTACCACACCTTGGACAAGTCTTGCCCTCCCACTTCGGTAGCGAACCATCCTTCCTCAAGAGGTTCACAAGCGCTTTGTCATTCTTCGGTATGAGGTCCCACAAAGTTCTTTGCCATGTAGATCTGTCAATCTTTTGGCCGGTATAATTGCTTTTCTTGTCCTGACATATGGCACAGACTTCCATTGCTTTGTCTTCATGGCAGCAGGGCGCTTCTTGGCATTTGGGAACCGGAAACTTGGACGGCATGACCGCACGAGCTTTGCTGTAGCGCGGGAGGCAGACAAGAGAGCCCAAAATGGCTGCAGTGCAAACGGGACTTTTCCTCACAGACAAGTTCTATGCAAATTCATCCACGCTTATGATGTTTGCATTTGTGACAATTGTGCAGAAGAATGCAAACCCAAGTTGTTTGAAGATGCACCGACAAGTTTTGTTTGCAAATGTTTGCACGTGTGTCACATGCTTTGAGAAAACAGACACAGCACGACAAGCAAGTAGACCATGCTCACCTTTTCTGCCACCATGGAGAAGTTCAAAGCTGCTACCATCACTTGCGCACCCGAAATTTCACTCACTTGCGCACCCTCACTCACTTGCACACCCAGTGAGCAAAATGTCACTCACTTGCGCACCTGTTGTTGGAGACTAGACGCTCGCTTGCCGTCGACAAAGAGGATGGAGATGATGCGGGTTGATGTAGGTCTGGCATCCTTTGGCATTGCAGCGATGTCTCAGCATGGCGCCTACTTTGTCTGGTTGAAGAGCAGACAACTTGCCAGTACCACACCTTGGACAAGTCTTGCCCTCACACTTCGGTAGCGAACCATCCTTCCTCAAGAGGTTCACAAGCGCTTTGTCATTCTTCGGTATGAGGTCCCACAAAGTTCTTTGCCATGTAGATCTGTCAATCTTTTGGCCGGTATAATTGCTTTTCTTGTCCTGACATATGGCACAGACTTCCATTGCTTTGTCTTCATGGCAGCAGGGCGCTTCTTGGCATTTGGGAACCGGAAACTTGGACGGCATGACCGCACGAGCTTTGCTGTAGCGCGGGAGGCAGACAAGAGAGCCCAAAATGGCTGCAGTGCAAACGGGACTTTTCCTCACAGACAAGTTCTATGCAAATTCATCCACGCTTATGATGTTTGCATTTGTGACAATTGTGCAGAAGAATGCAAACCCAAGTTGTTTGAAGATGCACCGACAAGTTTTGTTTGCAAATGTTTGCACGTGTGTCACATGCTTTGAGAAAACAGACACAGCACGACAAGCAAGTAGACCATGCTCACCTTTTCTGCCACCATGGAGAAGTTCAAAGCTGCTACCATCACTTGCGCACCCGAAATTTCACTCACTTGCGCACCCTCACTCACTTGCACACCCAGTGAGCAAAATGTCACTCACTTGCGCACCCTCATCATCTCTCATTCTGGGCATAGCCACTGCACTTTCATCATTGTTCGCTGTGGGGTGCGGTGGGGTGGGGTGGGACAATAACGCTCATGATCCTGTGCACACACAGGCACAGCAACCTCATCATCTTCTTGCTGTCCTGCAGACACAGGCACTGCTCTTTCATGATCAGTTACGGGTGGGGTGGGGGGGGTGGGTGGGGGTGGGACAAACGTTCATGTTCCTGTGCACACACAGGGGCAACCTCTTCTTGTGTCCTGCAGACACAGGCAATGCTCTTTAATGATCAGTTACCGGTGGGGTGGGGTGGGGTGGGGTAATAACGTTCATGTTCCTGTGCACACACAGGCACAGCAACCTCATCATCTTTCTTGCTGTCCAGCAGACACAGGCACTGCTCTTTCATGATCAGTTACCGGTGGGGTGGGGTGGGGTGGGACAATAACGTGCTTCTGCTCTCGTGCACACACCGGCACTGCTCTTTCATGATCAGTTTATCCTCGAACCTACACATTCGGCGGCTCAACAAATCAAGGCACCGACGTGATGGACAGGCGCGCACCACGCAGATGCCCATACAAAAAGAATCACGCAACGGATGACTGAGGTAAACCTTCTTTAATGAAGAGGATGATGATGATGATGATGATGCTGATGATGATGCTGATGCTGATGCTGATGATGATGATGATGATGATGATGCTGATGTTGATGCTGATTGTGATGGTGGTGCTGTAGATGAGATCATGAAGATGATGATGATGATGCTGAACCCTGATAATGGTACTGTGGATGATATCATGATGATGAAGATCATGATGATGATGATTATTATTATCCCCATGATCATGATCATGATCTTCATGGGTGTAGAAGCGAGGGAAAAAGTGGATGTACAAGCGAGTGAAAATCGGGATGTACAAGCGAGCGATCGCCCAGGAGCAAAGCTTGCGGATCAAGTCGTCTATTATACAGGTGCTGAGAATTCATGGACATGTCAGTTTTTCAGCAGTACCAACATCTAGTCACTTAAGTATCAAAGCCCATGGACTGTGCAGCGAGCTCCTCCAACTCTGGTTGCGAAGTCTTGGTGCGCTCAGGGTAGCCAAAGGGGCTATACGGCGACCACCAGAAGGCTCAGTGCCACAGCGCGGAGCAGGAGCCACCACAGGAGGGTCTTCGCTGGATGAGCGACCTGGAGAAGGTTCCACGACGCGGGCGCTTTGGAATTGGAGTTTGCTTTGGAGCTTGTGATTCACAAAGGAGATGTAACCTTGCCGTGCTCAAAGTCGGTCATCTTTGCAACACCCTTCTCCACCATCTCCTGCTCCTTCCTGATATCTGCATCAAAAGTGGACCCAGTCTCCAAAATGCCATTCTTGTATTTTCCATACAAAGGCTCGTCACGGGACTGAACAGATCGTTGTGGATATCATCAACACAAATGCGATGCACCATGGCATCCTTGTGTTCACTGGGGAGACGAAGATAGAGGGCATTGCTGGAGAACATGAAGACAATGGAGCGCTTCAGGCCAGCCAGAACATCCTTCTCCTTTTCTCCTTCGAAGATGTCACTCAGGAGGCTGAAGAAATCACCTGCTGACATGACACGATCTTTGCAATTGCTATCAAACCTTTCATCCGGCAGGTCATTGGATGCAAAGGCCCTCATTTGGTTGCGTAGCAGACGTGTATCATTGTATCTTGACTGTACGGTGCCATCTTCATCTGCAGTGACAAAGCTCTTCAGTTCGGCAATGCTGACTTTGGAACGGCAAGGGTCATTCAGGCAGAAAGCCTCATGCACCACCGGATCCTGGCTTCAAGCTTTCTATGTCGCTGCAGCGAACATGATACCGACCCAACGCCATGGACATCACAATGACAAAGGGTGTCTTCCCCACACCTGGGCAGCCCAAGAGCATAATGCCGAAGTGCTGAGTAGAGGGTACAGATAGGGAAGTAGGACATCGTGCACGAATGGCTTGAGACTGAAAGTTGTCAAGGGAAAGTCAGGAATGCTGACAGCTCCACCTCCTCCCCGACTCTTGTTCTGAGCCGTCATCCGCACCTTGTGTTCTGGCCACCCAGCAATCGGTGTACCAGAGTCGGCCTTGATGCTGATCAATATCCAGAGAGCCTGCTCGTTTCGACCATCACAGTCTGGAGCATGCTCATTGATTAATGCTACGCCTTCTTCTAGCTCATGGGTTGCTGGGTTCCACTTGGGCGTGTCGGATTGAGATTGAGCCTCTGCTGCCGTCTTCTCCTGGAGTGCATGCCATCGAACTTGATAACCACCTAGCCTGCTCAGAAGCCACTGGATAGCCTTCTTGCTGTTCCATGGCCCTGGTCGGAAGACAGGAACAAAGGCATTGCCGCTGCACAAAGCTTTCGCTGTTTGCAGGGATATTGGCTGTGTCAAGTACAGGACTTTGAGCACATCAAAAGAGCCATTCTGAAGTTCATGGGAAATAAAATCCATTTTGGTTTGGCGAGGCACTTCTACCTTGAAGCTCAAAGGAAGAGGTAGGTCAGCGAAGCGACAACCAGAGACAGTATCACCAAGCTTCTGTGCGTCTCCGCACGATGGGATTCCCAAATGAGCATTGAAGAGAACGTGGATTGATTTGATTCCCTTGGCCAAGGGTCGGCACGCTCCATCAATGAAGTCGGATAATGTGATTGGCTCACTGCAAGCCTTGATGCCTGCAGTCGCCTCTTGCAAAGGTCGTAAGTTCCATTGCTTCGAGCCAACCTGGGCGATTGCCTCGTCCAGCAAAGCACCCGCCATGGTGGAGGCACAGAGTAAGGCAAAGTGGTGCAGATTTGTAAAAAAGCTGTCTGCGCATCAATCCACAGAGAACATGTATGCATTGCATGTCACTTGCAAGTCGATACACAGATGATACAGGTCAGTTGGAGACAATGAGACCATTGCTGCATTGAGTTTGCAACGTTTGCAACCGACAGATGCAGTATACAATATGCATGGCAGATTTTGTTTTATCCAACTCCCTAAAATTTATTCACTACTCTTCTAACCAGTCTCCTACAGTCCAAAAATCGATCAGCAAACAGAGGCAAGTTGCTCCAATGTCTTTTTTTCCGTCAAACCACTGCAGTCGCATCTAGCCAGTCAGCATCTGTCTGAGGTAAAGGTTTTCCTCCTCCAAGCGGTCGATCTTCTCACGGAGGCTGTCACAGACTTTGATGAGCGGGGTGAGATCCTGCACTTCTGCCTTTAATTCCTCATTTTCTTCCTCAATCTCCTGGTGCACTTGGATTGCTTCAAGCAACTCTTTGATCTCCCCACGCAATGTCTCCTTCCAAGTGCTGGCGCCGCTCGAACCTGGTGAGATTGCGCACTTCGCAGCATCACTTTCATGACACGGACTGCGAGATCGAGGACGGGCGGGGCCATTCGAGGATGAAGAAGATGATGATCCCGAAGACGAAGACTTGATGATGATGATGATGATGATGACGATGATGATGATGATGCTTACTTTTGCCTCTTTAGCGATGGTTGCTTGTCCTCTAAAGCTAGCTGCTTCGGGGCACCCTTCTTCGGCTTGGCAAGGTTCTCCCGGAGCCGTGCCGTGGCTTCTGGGGTCCATTCACCTGCCAGCCCGGTCTGCAATTTGAGTTGCTTTTGAACGGTGCACATTGCGGAGTTGAGAACTTCCCTTGTGACCGGTGTGCGGCTTGGGTGCACGCTCCATTCTGCTATCTCGGCCGGAGTAGGTCGAGCAGCTTGTGGACGAGGTGCTGCCGCAGCGACTGCGATGGGCGTGAGGTGGATGCTTGCTCCACCGTTCATGAGGTCAACTCTGCCTTGAACATGAACTTGGTATGCCATGATGGTAGATGCAGGGGCAGGAACCGGAAATGAAGGGGCCTTTTTTTTGACTGCTGTGCTGCGGCTGCGAGGTTTTCATGCTAATGTTGCCAACAAGACTCTGAACTTGTATCAACGCAACAGGAAAGCAACATATTTGAAACCCAGGCGCCTTGAAAGCTGCAATGCGGCAAAGGAGGTGCTTTTATGTTTATGCTCCTGGGCATTGTTTGGCAGACAGTGCCACGTGGATAGGTCGGCAGAGGTAGGCTGATGGGAGGAGCCGGTACTTGACGCATATGACTGTCACTTCCGTTTGCAAACGGTTGCAAAGGACCAGAGTCGAGAAGTAAGAAGTAAGAAGTAAGGCTCTCAAAAAACATCTTGGTTCCAAGGACATTGATAGTTTTCTGAGAGCCTTACTTCTTACTTCTTGGTTCTGGTCGTTTGCAACCGCTTGCAAACGCTTCAGATCAGAATTCAAAATTGTCCTAAGGTTATGTAATGTAGACTCAGCTTGTCTATGGTTCTTCTTGTCTATGGTTCTTGGAGGATGGGTGTTATGGCATCTCACTATTGAAAAAACAGGTGTAAAAAAAATAGTATTGCAATATATTAAAAAAGACTGCAAATAGCGATTAAAATCACAATTTGAATTTGGTAGGGGGGTACCATATATACTAATATATATATATATATATATACATACATACCATTTTTTTTTTCTACGGCCTTTTGTGACTAGATGTCGCGGCGTGGCAACTTGAATTCGAAAAATTAGCTGATCATCTCTTGCTGTCTCGTTTCTGATGGTAGTCGGGACCGTAGTGACTCCCAAACTCAGTCACGTGCATGAGTCGGCAACGGTTCAAAAAGGCTTGATCAACAGAAACATCTTCGGCAAGATCACGTTGCAAGAGATGAAAAGCAAAAGATTCGCCCAGTGCACGATTCAGTGCAGGTGGGTATTCTTTCAGGCCAGTCGTGGCCCAATGGCCGGTTGCATCCTTCCCGATTGCCGCTGTCTTGGGCAGATCAGCACAAAGACGATGGGAGTGGATGAATTGAGGCAGTGTGTCCATGTTGAGGGTGAGGAAGCGTGTGGGTTTGGGAGTCTTCGCTCCCAAGAGCCCCTGTGCAAAGTCCACGTACTCAAACCCTGGCAACTGGCACAAAAATTGTAAAATCGGGAGCCTCCAGATCGACGGTTTGGTCGGATCATTGGGTTCTCCAGGATGTTCTAAGACGGCAAACCCCTCAGAGACTGCAAGGCAAATCAGCAGCTCAATCGAGAACAGGAGTAACTCATTACCCACCGCCACCTGGTACAGCTCTCGTCATGCTAGCGAGTGCAGCCCCCAAAGTTCGTCCAAGGAGCGTACCGGCCGCGGTTGTCTGCCCGCGAGATCTTCCAGCTGCGCAAATCGTGCTTGACTCCACGTCTCGCAAGGAGGGCCGCAGAGGCCTCCCTGCACGTAGTCTTCACGGGCCCCTCTTAGCCAGAAGTCTCTCGTCTCCTGATTGCAGGCATCGCCCCAGTGCTCGTCAATGACCACATCCATTGAGACCACATGAAGCATCACTCCTTCTGAATTGCGGCCAAATGCTGCTTCCAAGTAGTGCTGTAAATCTCCTGGTCGCCGTCTGCCTGAAAAGGCATGAAGGAAAACTCTTTCTTTACCCAGCGGTCTTGGAACTCTTTGCTGGGAAGACAGGATCTGGAGATCCGCAAGCTTCTGCTCGATTTCCTCAAAGCCCCAATTGGTAGCCACTGGCGTCATTCGGAGCTTAAGCAAAAAGGGCCACGAGGATGGGATCATCAAACGAGCAATGATCTGCAAGAAGTCATTCAAACGCTGAGGCTCCATGTCGGGGATACCTTGTTGACATTGATTATGAACTTCCTGCAAAGTTCGACGACACAAAGTCCAGGAGATAGGTCTGCTAGAAATGCACTCCCGCACATAGGTCTCGAAGTCGGCGATGTCAATGTCCATAACCCCCATGATGATGTCCTCATAGAGGCCTCCATGTTCTGCTTCGAAATCACGTCGTGGGACATCCGGAAGTCGTGGACCTTCGGCTGGTAGTGGCGGAAGACGATTGTCCCATGACTGTTTGCGTAGAGTGTCCTCGATGGACCCCAGGCCAGGAAGCGGCTGTTCCCGATGTCCTCTGCCAATCAAGGTGGTACGGCAAACATCTGATCGTATCAAATGAGCTTTCAATTTTCCCATGGTGAAGTACTCCTTGAGACAGGCCCCACATTGTGTGCTGCCAATCAGAGCGCGCACTGGGTGAACACTGCCATGCGATCGATGCATATGCGCACCTTCACCCCCAAGCGTCCGGCAAGAGATCTGGCAGGACATGCAACCAAAGACGGGTCCTTCATCTGCAGGCGCCGGTTCTGCTTCCTGGGCTCGTTGGATGAAGTCAAAGTCCTCCAAAATGCTCACGAAGCGAGTATGGGCCGTTGCAATGAGAAATTCTCTTTTGTGCACTCCCACTGCATGCTCAAGCGCTCTGCGCACCAGTCTGCGCCAATACCCTCTATGCCAACGAATGATTTCGACCCAGCGTGGCAGGTGCATGGTGGGGTCACCAAGGTCGCTGCAATTCTGAAGATGGTGCCAAAGCCACCTGAAGTCGTCCTTTACCAGCTCCTGCCACTCCACTCAAAGTCTTGGTTGAGTAGTCCCCAGCATGCAGTGTGGTCAACCGCCATCAAGGAGCCAAGGTATCTCAATCTACGCACTCTCAGCAGTTCAGACGGAGAAGGCATGCCCGTGCGGAAGAGGACTTCATCATCACTTATGGGTTGATCACACGGCCACTTGAGGAGTCGCTTGTACAAGCCTATAATGCCACCATGAAGATAATCTTTCGTTTGGCGATCCTGGATGGTCCAGGTTTCAGCCCCATAGAGGAGCCTACTCAAAATGAGACTATGAAAGAGTTCTCTTCTTTTGTCAATGGCAAAATTCACGTTCTGATAGAGGAGTTTTCGGTTCTTGTTGAACTCCTGGTGGGCTTGTCCAAGCCTGACCTTGATCTCTCTTTTGACTGTGCTGGAGAAGTGCACCTTGCCCCCCAAGTGCGTGTACTCTGTCACAAGTGGTACACGATATGGGTGGTGTTCTCCAACACTGTAGAAATTTCCGTCTGAATTCGGTCCAAACAAGCGCCGTTTCCAAGATTTCGTCCCTGCACCCTTGGGTGTGATCACAATGGCAGTTTTGCCTGGCTGCAGATTAGGAGTCATGGCAAAGCTTTTAAAAGTATCCAAAATGGCTCCAGTGGCTGTACCTAGCGCTCGTTCCAGTGTCAGGTTTGACTTGGCGGTGAGGCAAATGCACAAATCGTCCATCCAACAAGGGCCTACAAATGGAAACTCGGCTTGTGCGGAGGAATCGGCAAGTCCAAAAGCCTCTTCTTGGGGGATGTGCAGTAGGAGCCCCAGTGCGTCCATATCTTGTTGGAACTTGTGGAGAACTTTTGCCATCATGTAACCAAAGATGACATCGGCAAATGAATCTCCCGGACGCGTACCAATGTGTGTCAAAACCTGATCCGGCTGCATGGGTAACTTGAAATACGTATCCGTGTGCAGTGCACGGATGGCACGTCTCAAGTGGGGTGGTACACCCGCTGCCACCAATGCGCTAGGTTGGCGCAAAGCAGCATGCAAGTCATGCAAGAAACCATCATCAAGGTCAATGCGTGCCGCCATATTCGCAATGAGGTCGTCATCAATAGGGCCCTCGACAACTAAGGGTCTGATCACCCGGTAAAATGCTTCCTGGAGGTCAATGAACAAAAGTGCCGATGGCTGTTTCAATTGACTGCATAAGCGGTGGAAGGCTCGGACCTGATGGCTCCCTAAGGTGACAGGAACCCCTTGTCTGCCGCCAATTTGCTGCGCTTGGAGAAAGTGTTGGTAGAGATCCAGCTGCTTAGAACGAATGGCCTTGTGCATGACTTTGCCAAAACAGGATGACAAGAGAATCGATCTGAACGCGGAACATTGCTCTTTGTTGTTCTTGCCTTTCCAGATTGAATCGGTAGAAGGATGCCCCCTTTGTGGGATAAAGCTTCCTGGCCATGCGCACATGTCTTGAGGAGCAAACTGTACAAATGGACTGCTACCGCTCGAGGACAAAATTTGCACACTTCAGAAGGGAGTTCATCTAATCCGGAGGCTTTGCCTGCAGCTGTTCGTCGGCAAGCTACTTCCAGTTCACAAAGCGTGGGAACCTCCTCAACTGGAATGCAAATGTCTGATTGTAGGAAGTGCACTAAATGTTGCCTCCAGGTAGTCCATTGCTCATCTTCGGAGGCACGATGTCCTCCTTCCATCTGGCCGAAGAAGGTGACCCATCGGTTCAAGGCTACTTCAGCAGTCCTGCAAAATTCTCCACGTTCATCTTGGACAAGAGGCAAGGGTGCCATGCCTTGTCTCAATTTGTTTGAAGGGCCTTTGAAGGGGCGCAGCATCTTCTGTATGGTCGATGCTGGTGTCGCTGGTGTGATTTGTTGCAAAATTTCTTGGGGTTTCTGCTGTCGGTTATGCTGGACTGCTCTGCGCAATGTGGTGGTTACCACTGCGAACTGAACATAGCGACGAAAGCAGCCGATACGCAGTGAGGTCCCATATGCAAACGACAATTGCAGGATCTCCCTTTCCTCAGCTGGTTGCGCAGGAAGAGTTTCTTTGATCGCAGTTGCCACAGGTCCTCAGAAATGTATGGTTTCTTTGGACGTTGTTGATTCAATGGAAAGCGCTTGCTCAAATGGAGTCGAAAATGGTCCGCTATGCGGTTTGCATGCTGCTCCACATCGTCGCTCCAATGGCAGTCCGCCGAAATGCAGAGCTCGGACGAAACCGTGGCATCTATACAGGTTCGGTCAAAGGTGGGTCTGTCCTGTCGGCCTTTGGATGGAATGAGCTTGTCCTGTGTCCAACGGAGTTCCAGGGCTACAGCCGTGTGGTCCATCTGAATATTGGCCAAATCAAAATCAGAAATCACCTTTGAAGTGACACATGCGCCAAACCATGATCGTGGGATGGCCACATAATCAATGGTGTATTCCCCATCATCTGGTGAAGTCCATGTGGTGGTGGGGCATTCATGCAAACTGCTGGTGATGGGCAAACAGAGATCAAACTCATCCAAAAAGTCCCGAAATAATTTGGTGCCACTGGACGTACGGAATCCCTCTTGGAAGACACTAGTGCCATCAGGAACACCCGGTGCGGCGTTGGCATCAATGCAAAGGAACAACTGTTCACCTGTGCCAATATAGCGGAGCAAGATGTCTCTGGTGTCGAGCCACCAAATCTGTCTTTCACTCAAGGCAATGCCGCTTTGCGGCGCATGCGCGACAAAACACCAGACTTGCAAATGTGCCGTGTTGATATGAACCAGCAGTCTGCGTGCATCTCGATGTGTGACGTGAAAATCGCTTTTGTGGAAGCAAAGCCCCGCCTTTTTGATGTACGCATATGGTTGATGGAGGTTGGCCCACAGTTCCACCCCCCATTTGCCCTGTTGACTGCCTGAACAAAGGCGCAAAACTCCTTGTTTTTGGGACATTCCTTCAGCAGAGCGTGCCTCTTGGATTCCAAGGAGGTTTAGGCGTAAATCGCAAAATTGGGCACGCAGATAGTCCAACTTGCCAGAGAATCCTTGGTCAGCAACTCCTAGTGATAGGACATTTGCCGTCGCAATGCTGAGACACAATTCAACTCGTTTCATTCTGGGCATCGAATCAGCATGATCACGCAAGGGTGGCGAATCTGGCGGAAGGGCTGGCGCGCACAGATCGAAACCTGTGCCTGTAAATTTTGGCAGGCCATGCATGTCGTCAAAAATCATCCAAAGAAACGGGAATTTTGAAACAATCTTGGGAATGTCAATGTTGGGCCTGGATAAAAAGAAGCTGCTACGCGCTTCAGCTTTGGCAAGAGCATCTGCCATTTCATTCCAGGGGTCTCCCAAGTGCCCAAAGACGTGATCGAGTGCAACATCTGTCCCTAATGCAGCATCTAGGGCTTGGTAGCAACCACGAAGCGTCTGAAAGGACAAATCACAGCATGCTGATCCAAGAGATCCTTCAGCCTGTCCAATTGTTAGGAGTGAGTCACTTCGAAAAATCGTGGGAAGCTTGCTGTTGAGGCCTAAACGCCAGATCATTGCCCATGTGAGCGCTTCACATTCGGCGATGGCTGATCCTACATGTTTGGCGCCAATGTGCCAAGGGTGTTCAGGATCGTACCTCACTTGGTGCGCTGTCCATCCCACAAGAGAAAGAGCTGAAGCGTCATGACCTTGGAAAGTCTCTCCTAACACAATGAAACTCCATGCATCCGGCAGATCAAGTTCTTCATTCAGTGCCGGGGCAACGTGCTTGTGTTTCGACTGCGACGAACCATCCATGTAAATGATCAAGCGGTCAAACTTGCAATTCGACGTCAAATTCACTGATGGCAGCGACAGTAACATCCGGGAGGGGCAAATCTTCCGTGATCGTACACAAGCTTTGCTGGTCATGCTGGAGAAGGGAGTGCAAGTCGGCCGTTGTGACACGAAGATCAAGTAGGCATCGTGGAAGCTGGACATCATCCCTTGGTTGCCACAAGGGTGAGTCATTCCCATAGGACCTCTGGTTTCGTGGTGGCCAGGGTCTTTGGATGCGTTGTTTGGCAGTCAGATCATCAATTGTGCCTGTAGGCTGTACAAATTGCACCTCGATGAAATTGGTGTTGAATGGCTTCGTGCGCAGAACGACTCCTTTCTCAACACCAAGACGATGCAAAAGGGCCATAAGCTGTATTTCAGTCCAATCAACCTGTTCCGTCATCGTCAGGAAGGCAGAGTCCTCACTGGGAACATTTTGTTGCATGTCAGTGAAAAGGATAAGTATCTGATCCGGTTCCGGAGTCCAGCCATCCGGAAAACACACTGCAAGTGTGTTGTTGGCCGCAAGTGCAAAGTCGCAAAGATGACCAAAAGCCTGCAGCTCATCCTTAATGGCATCTCTAATCTGCGTCTCATCTACTGAAATGTAGGATGGAAGTTGAGTTCGTAGCTGTCCAAGCCCTTCCAGCTTGACAGGCCGCTGCGAAACTGTGCTGAAATTGTCACTTGCCGGGGATGACAACTCTGCAGGCCTGATAAGTGTGTTCAACTGGAGGAGAACAGGTCCCTGTGATTCATCAACAGCATGATCATGTGCCACAACGTCCGTTGGAGCTTGGTCAGTTGGGTCCAAGGTCTGCGGGGGAATCGGCATCTGTCGGAAGATGTGGAATGCAAATCCATCCCCTTCATGCATGTCATGTGTGACAATGGGAGTAGTGGGAATTTCTGTCCATCCATGAAAAATCTGACACCTATGCACCTGACAAATTGGTCCCAAGGCTAACGCATGAATCAACCACTCCCCACTGAAACGCGGTCGGCAGGATACTGCAACAGTGTACGATGCCAACGATGGATCACTGGGCGTTGGATAGACCGACACAAGTCCTGCCATGCGTGATTCATATAAACCTTGAGACACAATCACATCAAAGGCGATGCTTTGCTCATGTTGTGTACGGAATGGCTGCGGCTTGACGACATGAATTGCGATCGCTTCAATTGGGACAAGGCGGTCAATCCAGAGGGCGATAACTTGGGCTTGCCATGATGATGGTGGTCCTGCTAACTGCAGATATCTGGCAATGCGTGAGAGTCGGCGCCAACGATGGTGAACATACCAAACTCTGATCACCAGTCCCACGATTTCTCCATTGGCTCTGATCCCATTGGGTTGCAAATCTCTGAGAATGTCAAACACAAAGTCAGGAATTTCGACATGGTTGGCAGCATGAGTGGGAATGTCAACAGGGATGAGACCAGGGTATACTCCTGCTTGTTGTCCATCCTGACCTGAAGGTTGATTATCACTCAGCTTATTTGTCACTGGTTCCCTTACTTGGCAAGAAAACTGATTGACATACCAAGAGAATACGCTACCATCTAGCGGGATCGACACGGCCTCGGTTGACAGCGGATCCACGACTGAATTACGGCTTGGTCCGGATGCAGACAGGGACTCAAACACAGGATGGACCTTTGTTGTCACAGAGAGAAGGCTCTGAGTGTCCTCCTCTTGAATTGGTGCAGCTGGGCTACGTGTTACTGGGGCCGGTGCAAGAGGCTGCAAACGAACAACAATTCCATAACCACTACGACCTGCAAGGGGAATTCCTGGATGAATGGGCAAGGTTCCATACATGGCATCACATTGCCTCGTGCGTGTCTGTCCAAAGCAATTTTCGAAAATCCCAAGGACCCTAGCAAGGTTGTCAAGCAAGATATGTTCATGCGTGGTGATGGCAAACTGTGTCAAGCTTCGCGGGGCCGTGCTGAAATCAAAACATGAGACGACACTGGTTACCCAGAAGTCATTGGGCCGTTGGATGAGCACTATGTGCGCCGCAACTGTCCCATCGACTGTTGGCGGTCGAGGGGTGACAATATGGAATTCCAACTCATGTCCTGGAATGATTTGATCTTGCCATGCCTGCCAAATCCGCAATCTCCATTCATCAAGGTCAGGATAAAGCCGAACTACGCGTGTCCTCGTACAATGCGGATGTGGCCAATGGTGATCGACAAACCACACAGCTACCGAACAAGATCGATCTTGATCTTCCCACGCAAAGGCAAACTCATCCCACAGGACGAACAGGTCTTGGATGAATTCATCATATGTTGCAAGACCCCATGGCATTCCTGGCACGAAAACAGGCGCATTGGCTTGGAATTGGAAAGTTCCGCCTTCATGTGGTGGGTTCGACAATCCTACTCCACAAATGGTGGCTTGGCTTTGGACCGCAGTGGGGTCATGTTGCATCAAACTGCCTACGTCAGAATCATGACTCCGACAACTCGCTGCCTCCGTGACTAGAGACCAAAGTGCTCCATGAATCTCAATATGATCCCCAATGTTGAGAAAGAGGGGGGCTTCTGTCGTTATGGATTCACTACCACGAAAGCCTACACAAAGAAGCCGTCTTGTTCTGCATTCGTCCGCAATGTCTGTGAAGATCCAAAGATCTGGCAGAGTTGTACGGCTGCTTGCGATGACTGCGATTCTGTTGTGGAGTCTTGATGTGGCATCATGTCTGAAAACACTCAAAAGAACCCCAGCAAATCGGTCTCCTACATTCTGATGGAGCAGGAAATGCCCTGCTGACGATGCTTCATTCGGAGGAGGCTTGATTGGCTCAATCAACAAGCGGGAGCCTGGGTGGACGCGATCGCTCCACAAACGGCGGATCATGTGCTCCCAAGACCTACCTGGATGCGGAAGGGTAAGCAACCTGGGGTGGTCGCATGTCGGCCATCTGGTGCCATCAAGATACCAAAATGCGAAAGTCACACTGGCTTCTTCCGTCGAGACTGCAAAGATAGGTGATGCTTGATGCCAGGCCTCATTAAGTTCTTCCAACTGCAGGAGGTGGGGAAAATCATCTCCGTGTGGCTCTTCAATGTCATGTATTGGGATTGTGAATGCAAAACTACTTGCCTCACTGCCGTCCTTGTCAGCATGAATGAAAGGATGCGGCGATGTGGCATGAAGCAACCTGGTTTGTTGCGTGAAAAGCTGCAAGTCATCCGTGTCTTCGTCCCTGTCCGAAGGGGCATGCATGTCACTTGCTGGGGTTGCTCGAATCAACTCCGTGCTGCGTGGGTCATCAACAAGACGTTCAACCGGAATGCGAACTTGCAGGCCTAAACCATGATAAATGCGGATGTTTGCATCAACTGGCAAGTCTTGGCTCCCAATGAAAATTCTGCAGCCGGGTTGGATGCATAAATCTTCTACACCCGCCTCACGCACCAGTGCTAGCGGTGGGATGAAGTGGTCAAGTGAAAGCGCAGTCGTGCTTACATGTCTGATACTATGCGAATCAGGGAACGCAGTGACAACGCAGGCTGCTTTGTGCGGTTGTGGGTGCTGCACAATGATCACTGTTGCTACAGTACCTTGGTAAATGGTGACTGGTGGATCAGGGTGGACCACAAACAATTCAAAGGTCGAAGACCTGTCGAAATAATCTTCCCACATGAATTTGATGTCTTCTTCCCAAGAATCATGTTCAGCATCGAACCGCAGCGGTCTGGCAAAATGCATTCTTGGGTGTTGAGTATGTGAAATATAAAAGGAATTCATGTAAATGACTGGGCCTTCTTCTTCCATTTCGGTCTCTCCAGCAGTGCAGAGAAGATCCCAGACTTCCTGAAACCACGTGGGTCTTTCAACTCGAGGTGGTCGGCCTGGGCCGTCATATCTCACATGGCCTACAGGAGTACTTGCAGGGGCTTCATGCGGCATTGAGAAATGGCTCGCAGAGCTGGCAGACATGGGTATCGAAAGATATGGGATTGGTCTGTCGGAGATGCACACGGCCGATTTCGACAGCGGATCAACATCGACAGATGCATGCCGGATCTCAGAGATTTGACGCTGGAACAAGCTATTGCTCTCTGAATCTTCGATCTGAGATGGTCGTTCAACCTGAAATGAGGATGACTCAGAATCACTGCAAAGTAAGCCTTCATGGCCACCTACAAGGATTTTGAGATAATCTCCGTCCTCAAGGTGCATGGGCGTGAGTTGTCCTTCAGGTATGGGGATCTGGTTGTGCCAGAGTCTGCAGGCTGCTGGATGATCGATCAAAAGCTGCTCCAGATCCAAAAGTCTGAAAGCCGATACTCGATTGAGTGTCATAGGCAACCACTTGGAAAATCTTTTAAAAGTTCCAGGCAGCACTTCATTGGGTTCGAAGAGCTCGAGGTCAATGAGAATCAAACGGACGAAGCCGGATGGTCTTGGATCTATCACCGTTTGCAGAAGCAGACATTGGAGATTGTGTTGAATGAAATCCCGTGGGCGATTGCGAACAAAATGGACGCCAATAAGGCCTTGTCGATCAATGCCAGCCGTACTTGAAATCTGGCGGATCAATTCATCTCCATTGTTCCATGGGATTCTAGCCGGTAACACCCTCCCATCAAGAAAGAGCAAAACAGTTTGCCTCCAATCCTCAGAACTGCTCATAGATCTTTCGGTCGATGAAGAGGTGGAATAGGATGATCCGGAAGACGAACGGTCACCCTCGATGCTATAGCGAGGTGATGGTCTTCTGGCCATGAAATTGACCCAGTCATCCTCATGAGGTTCATGCAAGTGCCCTGGGGCTGAAAGTGCTCGAACAGTCCATGGCTTGCCCGGCCATGGAGAGAGCGATTCATGATGCACCGTGATCTCAGCAAAGGTGGAATTATTCTCCCCGCCGATGTAGACCACAATCTCATCGTCAAAGCGTACATGATAAGTTGAAGCTTTGTGGCGCAAAGGTAAAGCAAAAGCATCGACAACGACTTGTTCAGCGAAACCCAAAGATGATGCGAGCGTCGATGCATGGACCTGTGCTTGCCATACTGATAGAAAGTCATCTTCAGCGAGGATGGAATGACTCCATTGGAGACGCACAGCCTCAATGCTGATCTCCGGGAGGGACCCTGGCCATTGACGGGTATACATGTCTGTCATACACCGCCGGCCTTGCCAAAAGACAAGGAAGCAAGCTCGCCAGTAGATGTTCTTGGCCGTTTGACACGTTGCTCTCAGAGGTTTGCTGACGATGAGAGCTCTTCCAAACTCGTAACTATCGAGTTCATGCCCTCGTGGATTTTCTGGGAGCTTTCCTCTCTGGAATCCACTGTCATGTCTTCGGCAACTTCGGTCTCGTCCTCTTCGTCTGAGATCTGCTGCACGTCTCCTTTGCTTCCTTGCTCCTTCTTTGATGCCAGGTCGAAGTTGCGTTGGGCTTTGCGAACCGCAATGCGAGCATCTCTCACACTGGCCTGATGGGCTGTATCGGAAGCTTGGAAGTTCGCAGTGAATTCTTTCCACTTGATCACTGATTGCTGCAGAAAGTGTTTCCACTGGGATAGCAATTGTGCTCTTGCATTTTCTGCTTCCAGCAAGTCGTCCTTGCTCTTCCCTAAGGCCCTCACTGCAGAGTGAAGACTCTGCATGTTGCTCTTTTCGTCTTGTTTCTTCATTTCGTGTGCCATCGATTGGAGATTCGACGGCAGATTGTCCTCTTCCTTCTTTAGCTCCTTCAAAAGTCGACTCAACTTCTGTTGGGCTTGTCCTTCTTTGACAGGATCTTCTTGTGGCGTGGGAACTGTGGGGCTCACCGGTGCCATGGGAAATGGCATCATTTGCATACTGGGTGCCAAAGGTGCAGGAACACTCGTAGCAGCCGTCAGACCTGAAGCAGCAGGCATCGGCGGCGGTGGAGGCACCAATACCCCAGGCGATTGCAGACCTTTCCCCATGCCCTTGTCCACTACTGGTTGTTGCAAAGAAGCTTGCAGCATCTGTTGTGGATATGGCATCAACATAGGCATCATCGGTGGCATAGCAACTTGTGAGTCCTGTCCTTTGCCTCCATAGTGTCCCTTTTGTTGATAATACTCCCCTCCATGATGACGTCCTCGATTGGAGTTCTTCCGTCCTTTGCCACGAGGACTCCGGGAACCAGAGCTCTGTGCAGGCCAAGAATTGCCCTGCCACGACTGCTGTTGCCCAGATTGCTGATCGTAGGCCTGTCTGACCTCGGGCGGGACGAAGGTGCTGTCGTTGCAGCTGTGCCATTCCGTGCCGCGCTTCCAGCATCTTGGGAATGTTCCTTTCATCACCACGTGGCACTGGACGCTCCTCCATGACGGATGCTTCTTCGTCATTGCTGCTTTGATTGCTGCAAAGATTGAACAAAGAAGTTGGGGATCTCGCGAGTGATGTCGGCTGAGCAGAAAGTAAATCCTCTGCCATTGGTGGAGTGTCAACAACTCCTTGCCAGACCGATGTAAATGCCAGCGAAACCTGGCGCGTGCCCTCTGTCTTCGTTGGCTCCTCCTCAAAGAAGCCGACCACAAAGTCGCCGGACGCGTCAAACTGATCGGCCAAGGTGAAGCCGTAATTGCCCTCTTCCAGCAAGTTCACAAAGAGCGAGACAAGGAAGATGATGGAGCAAAATGTCATACACCAAGAGGTAGGAAGCTCGCGAGTAGGCCAATCCCAGGTTTGATGACGGAGCTGGGACTCCAGGAACAGGTGATGGAAAGGGTGGCTAGCCCAGTCCAGAGCACTGCCAATGGTCCAGGGCGAAACCAGTTCAGACACAAAGGCAAGAAGGCGAGCGTATGGCGACGCCCGTGGGCAGTGTTAGTGCCCACTAAGGTGAGTGGCAACGGGCGTGGGGCCCTCGTGAGCCAAAACCTTATACATACATATATATATATATACTGTACATATACATATATATATATACATGTATATATGTGTGTGTTTATTGAACATCTCTTTTTTTTCGTTTCGTCTCCGGCCTTGTGACGGTCGATGCTGCGTGTAGCGTACCAGGCCTTCGATGGCTCCTCGTCCCAGGCATAGCTCGACTTCTCCTGAAACGAGCGGAACGAGCGGAACGAGCGGAACGAGCGGAACGAGCGGAACGGATGTATCAGGCTATCAGAGATGTATCAGAGATGCAGAGATTTATCAGAGATGTAAGAGGTCCAGGTATATGCGGTAGTGAGAAAGTTTAGCGGAACCTGGGCCCTAGGTTTCAGGATCAGACGATTCAAAAACATTCTAAGTACCTTCGCATACCAGTTATGTCCTATTCTGGGATATTTAATGGTGTTGAAAAAGATGTTTAAAGGCGTTGTGTCTCTTTGTGAGTCTTTGTGGTGGGGAACGGATTTTGAAATAGTTTCGATATGTTTCAATGATATCACGTGGAATCCATTGTACGTTACGCCAGTGACAGTCGTGGTCGTGTTGAAAATGAAGTGCCGCAACTGAGTCACAACCGGTACATGAGACAGTCATGTGACATTGACATGACATCATTACGTGTGACACTCATGACACTCGTTCACAATTTTTCAATGCCAGTATTTTGATGCTTGGCGCTGAATTTGGCGGGTCACAGCCCCAGAAAACCCGCCGCGGACAGTCGTGACACGGGTATCATCAGGTATCATTCTGTAACCTGCAAATATGAAACAAATATGAAACAAATATGAAACAAATATCTGCAAATCATTCCCTTTCGAAACCTGCGCCTCATCAATCTGTGCCAGGATGCCAATTTGATACAATTTGATAACAGTTTGGTATGGTAGACTTGACAAGTTCAAATGTTCATTCATCACGTGACAAGTGTGCCAAACACTGAACTGGCGTGGCCGAACTGTTCATGTTCGACTCTTATCACTCTAAGTCTTGTGAGTCTTGTGAGTCTTGTGACATTTGGATTTTCTCCGGGAGTTCATCTCCGTTCGCAAGGTGACTTCTGCTCCCGACCCCCTACATCCGCTACACCCGCTACACCCGCTACCTCCGTCTCATCTACGTCGTCGACGTCGACCGTGTCGACCTTGGAGAGACATCGAAAACATGGCTCACATGGCTCACATGGCCATGACTCACACGAAAACATTGTGATTTTAGAGCCAGAGATATGCACATTTATTTACACAATAATAAATCATATTAGATATTATTAAATAATCTGCAACAAGCTACAAGAATCTACAATAATCTACAACAATATACAATAATATACAATGTATCATGTTGTTCCAGAATCGGCACAAGATGTTTTCCAGAATTTCAACCTGAAATCCCGGCGCACCCAGACGCAGACTATGCCACGATGACCCAGACCAAGATCAAAACACAACAAACTGCGCTGAACGCTATGCTAGCTATGAATGCTATGAACACTGTTCGGGGATGCATGTGAGGTGATATATGGTGATATGAGATATTATGAGATAATAATGCGCCCTGATCACATATAAATTTGTTCCTCCAGCACCTGTTTTTTTTTCTAGCAGTGAAACAAAGAGATGTTTCAATAATGTCCAATATGTCAATGTTTGGCAACATGTTTATGTTTCTCGTAATGTTTGTATCTTTCCATAATGTCAAGCTACATTGCGTGGTCCCTTGCCTATTCTAAGATCTACCAGTGACATCAGATTTCATCATCAGTTGTTTGGACAGTTATGGACAGTTCATTTCTGTTTGTCACAACTGAGAGTCCAACTGCTCGCAAGGACACCTTGGGAACCCGGAGAACCTGAGACGGATGCACCGATCTCTCCGACATCCGACATCCGACATCCGACATCCACGGTATCCACGACTTCCTGCAACTACTTTTTTTCACCATGACCGTCACTATCCGTCACTCAAACAGTCACGGAATTCTCAGACGGTGTGAAACCAAAAAAACATGTCAGACTGAAACTGCAAAGAAGAGATGTCGTAAAGGAAGAGGACATCCGGGTTTGGCACGCTGAACAAAAACAAGATTCTGTTTCAAATGCAATCATATTTTAACTATATCAAGTCCGAAGTGTACGCCATTATGTTTTAGCATGTTTTAGCTATCCATGTTACACACGCACGCACACACACACACAAAAAAAAAAACACACACACTGCGTGTTCAAAATTGCATGTTGTATCACTGCTCCAAAGACTGACGAATTAAGGAAAATAAATAAAAGGAAATGAACAAATTCCGCTGTATCTGACATCTATTGAATCCTAACAGGACTGAAATTTTGCAAGTGACACTGGTAAAATCATGTGTGTTTTGTGACTAATTTGTGATTCTGATGAAACTTCCAGAATGTGAACCTTTGCGAATCTGATGGGTACTCGTCCAGAATTTGGGTCCGGGTCCCGGACCGACGTTGGCAAAGGCCGGGGCCCGGTGAATGCAAAGCACCTGCCAAACCAAGTGGAACCAAATCCAGTCCCCAAGGGTCCCCAAGGGTCCCCAAGGGTCCCCAAGGGCCCCAATCTGCCAATTGGACCGACCAAGATTTTGTCTGCAGTCCATCCACCGATGTTCATTTCCACGGATCATGTTTACATTCAGTGCAAGCATTTCATGAAAAATATATGTGTATATAGTTTTATGTAACTGTTTATGATTTTCAAAACACGAACATGTCATCATGAGACAATGAAAAAAATTATGAAATTTTGCCACACTTTCGTGACAGTTTTGTCTCGTGCCTGGCGAACGCAGCAGCCGCAAACAAGGCAAACAAGGCAGTCATGGCCACCGCACGCCTGCCGAACGGCACAGCACGGCCACACCGCATGGCCGCCATGGCTTAGACCTCCACTCGCCGCGTCGTGTCAAAGTACACCATAGAACAGATGAGAAACTGATATCTGAACAGATTTCAATATAGATTTCAATATTTGTGTAACATTTGTGTAACATTTGAACCAATGTGAGATTAAAAACATGAATTGGTTGTCTGGGTCGTTTAAATGCGGCCAAGTCATGCCAACCGTCCGCGACTCAAGCAAATCTTGGCACACTCGATCTTGAATGACTACCGTGTGACCAGTAGATTCGTCAATCACCACGGCACCTGTGCCTGCAACACCGTTTTCCCAAGATCCATCGGTGAAAACAAAAAGGGTGCAGGCGTCAATACTCACCGGAAATTTTTGAACAATCCCTAGCGGGAGTGAGACCTCTTCACACCAGTTTTTCAACCTTGGGTACGGTGGTACGGTACGGTGGTACGGTACGGTGGGTGGTGGGTACGGTAGGTGGATACGGTAGCAGCCGCTGCTTCAAATGCATATGCACGTTGACAATCGCGTGTAATCGTCAAACCTGTTCATTCGGATAACTTGGGTCACCGCCCCCTCTTCTTCACCATACATGTGGTCCCCAACTATGTTTTCACACCTTTTGATTTTTGACTTTACCACGGTTCACATACTCAGCATTGGCTTCCTTGTTCACATCATAGCTGACTAGGCTATGTTTTTGCGTGGAGGTAAGCGCTGAAATTGACGTTTACTTTGAAACCACTTCCAAATTCAACAACATGCCATTTAAGCGGAAATATTTGTTTTCCTCCTGCAAACTTTACTGGAACCAAAAAGCGCCTGACGATACACGCTGAGTGACACTTCTCGATTTGTGCTGTCGATGCAAATGACTGACATCAACTGTACTGTTTCTGCAGGGTTTGCACATGCGAACAACACCCCGCCTTGATATAGGTTTTTGCCTAATATCATTTCTATGTACACCTCAGGACTCTTCCAAGTCCAGACTGTGCATTCTATTGGAGTTCTGTGCTGTGAAAAGTTGCGCTACAGCAGTTGCAAAGCCTTTGTTGCTGTTGCAGCCACTGATTATTCCTATGCTTGTGGCTGCTACCTACACGCGAGCGCAAGACATGTATACGCGTAAACTGAACCAAGTGCAATGCCGTAAATGAAAGAGTTTCTTGACATCTTAAAACACTGACAGTAAAAACGGCTTCTGCTGAATCACACTCTCACGTTTTTTTCCCCACATTGACGTGTGGGGTTTTTGTTTTTTGTTCTGTATCCGCGCCTCTTCCTCCTTCCCGTCCTCCTCCTTCACACTCACTCACTCACTCGCTCGCTCGCTCACTCACTCACTCACTCTCACTCACTCATTCACTCACTCACTCACGTGGCAGGCATGGGACAATGTGCACTGTCAAGGGGTCGGATGTACGCCCTGGCCTCCCTCTGGCGTCCCTCCGGTGTCCCTTGGTCTCCGCCGCCGCTTTTGCGTGGCAGGCGTGGGACAATGTGCACTGCCAGGGCGTCGGATGTACGCCCTGGCGTCCCTCTGGCGTCCCTCCGGTGTCCCTTGGTCTCCGCCGCTTTTGCGTGACAGGCGTGGGGCAATGTACACTCCCAGGGGGTCGGATGTACGCCCTGGCGTCCCTCTGGCGTTCCTCCGGTGTCCCTTGGTCTCCGCCGCTTTTGCGTGGCAGGCGTGGGACAATGTAAAGTGCCAGGGGGTCGGATGTACGCCCTGGCGTCCCTCCGGCGTCCCTCCGGTGTCCCTTGGTCTCCGCCGCTTTTGCGTGGCAGGCGTGGGACAATGTGCACTCCCAGGGGGTCGGATGTACGCCCTGGCGTCCCTCTGGCGTCCCTCCGGTGTCCCTTGGTCTCCGCCGCTTTTGCGTGGCAGGCATGGGCCAATGTGGAGTGGCAGGGGGTCGGATGCACGCCCTGGCGTCCCTCTGGCGTCCCTCCGGTGTCCCTTGGTCTCCGCCGCTTTTGCGTGGCAGGTGTGGGACAATGTGCACTGCCAAGGGGTCCCTCCGGCGTCTCTCAGGTGTCCCTTGGTCTCCTCCGCTTTTGCGTGGCAAGCGTGGGGCAATGTGCACTGTCAAGGGGTCGGATGTACGCCCTGGCGTCCCTCCGGCGTCCCTCCGGCGTCCCTCCGGTTTATTTCTAGCTTAACAAACCGTGCACACAAACAACATAGCACAGGGATCTATAAAATCTAGATACCCAGACAGGAGTATTATAAAATCTAGATACCCTGCTGAAAACGTAAACGCCGTGTCTCGAAAAATTGAAACGTGAAATCGAACAACGACTGCTGCAGGACAACGAATCTTTTTTCAGCGAAGCTTTGGGGTACAAGTCTCAATTGGCTGGATCAAAGCTTTCCAGCTCACTGGAGGCCAACCCCACATTCTCCAAGTGTGCTGGGAGGCTGATTCTGATCCGTCGTCCTGTTTTCAAAATTGCATCAGTACAAGACATCCGTGAAGGAGGGTCGGCTGGATTGCTTGCCGTCGGAACTCTTCCGAACCACGGGAAAATTGTGTTCGGCTTCTATCGCTGTAAACTGCTTCAGAAACGTGCGACCTGCCTCTGTTGCGGCAGTCCCTTGGATATAGGCACTTCTGGCTGATCATTGTCCAGGAACACCACCACCAAAGAGTTGGCTATGTATTGCCCCCATACAGTGGCAGCCAAAAAAAATGGCAGTATTTCGAGTTCGTAGATCGGGTGATCCGAGAAAATCAGTAGTTGGTCCACTACTTGCTTTTGAACCCACTCTCCGAAAAACTCAGAGACGATGCCTGAAGGAGAGACCGACACCGCTCCCACTGCGGCAGGGTTTGGACTGGAGGGTTCAAAAGAACCGTCTGTAAAAATGATCCAAGTTTTGTTGATGTCTCGGTGAACCTGCACAGGTTTTACAGTAGCCAGTTGACCTTTCAGGTCTTCTAGGGTTCGAAGTAAAAGTCCCTCCACAGCTATCATTCTTGAAGCTGTGTGTGCAAAACCCGATAGGTAGCGAATGAGCATATTCAACGTTCTCCCGAAACAAAAAGAATTCAACCAAACAAGACGGCCGTGTAAACGCTCCAGCTCTTTAGTGGTACATCGATCTTGACCAACTAGAGTCTCCAAGGTTTGCACTACTTCATTCCTGCGGGACTCAGTATGCTCCAGTTGAAAGAAGCCGGCCTCCAAATGCTCGAAGGAAATCAGAATAAGACCAAGGGTTTTGAAAACGCTATTGAAAGGAGGGGCTTTGTCTCCCGAATCTGCGAACCAAATTCCAAGCATTCTGAATAGCTCTTCCATGCAAAAGGTGGCACTCGTAGTTTCCGACTTTCTGCAAACCACTGTAAAGTCATCAAAGAAGGCAGTGAGCACTATATGTCAAGAGCCTTCGAGGCAATGAAGGAAATGCAATTGGAAATACGCAGGAATGCTGTAACGCTTCCAACTGCCCCAAAAGGTAGGGCCCCAACTCTGAACAGTTGGTAGGACCCGCCCGGTTTCCGCACTGCTATCTTCAAGAGTTCATGATGGTAGGGGTCTACCCCAAATTGTCTGTAAGCCTGTTTGAGGTCGAACGTTCTTCCGACCAACTCCAAAGCTGCGGGATCATCGCAATGGTCCAAAATGTAAGCCAAATAAGAGCACAGTTCATCGATGGATTGCACCCCTCAACTTTTCTCTCAGGCCATAAGCTGCGTTGACCCCATTGATGGAGAAGTTGTCGATCAACCTCACTTTGTTGGCTTGCTGCAGAGGGAATCTCTTTGCAATGCACTCCGGTTTGCTGTGGTCTGTTGGGTAAAGCCAGCCCTGCTCAACCTCCTTCTGGGTTTCTTCCCCAGACAAACTGGTCGCGCTCCACTTCAGTTGCAGAAGTCAAGGAACCTGTGACTGCTGCATTCAAGGCAGGGGATAGCTTCAGCAAATGTTCGATCGAGTATTCTGGCTTTCTAACCCACGGTTCAAAAACTCCGGTTTTGGGTGCCCAGCCAGTCAAACTGAATCCCTTGATGACGTCATCAATAATACCAGCGTCTTTGTACTTCAGGTCGACCAAAATTTCTTCCCACAAAAGCAGTCTCTTTCCTTTCAAAACTCGCCTCAAATGAGGCGGCATTTGTTCTCGTAACTCTTCCTCCTGGGAGCGAAGTTCAAGGGACCTTTTCAGCCACTTCTTGAAGAACTGAGTCCGCTTCTTCAAACGCACGCGAAGGGGTTGATGAAGCAGGTTCTCAATTGCTTCTCGGACTGCTTCTGGAACTCTGGCGATCAAGTTTCTCGGGTGTCCCTTGGAAACCGCTGCACGTAGGAAGTCCTCTGGTGCCCTTGGGATGCCCACATGAATGATTTCACAAACTGCGTGGTCCTCCCAGTCTGATGCACATTCAAAGCTGGAAAATCTCTCGTTTGCATCGGCCCGACAAAACCCCCCATTCAACTTGGCGATGACAAACTCTGGCTCCTTTTGGCATTTTGTCCAGGAAACTTGGCAATGCGGTAGAGTCTGACACGTTGCAAACCAGTGTAGTGTATCCCATGAATTCAGATACCAATGGTTTCAGCTTACGAGAACATGGTTGAGAGGCAAAAAGCCGTCTCTTTCCCACGTCGTCGTCCACTTGTACTTGTTGCTGCAAGTCTTCTGGGAAATGAAAGCCTCTTGCTGCCGCCTCCTGCTTCAGGATGAAAGCAACTCGTTTGCATAGAATAAATGGATATTTCGCCTCTTCTGCAGTGGGAAATTGTACCCTCTTGCCCTGCCTGATTGGTTTCCATGATGCGTGACAGAACAGCTTCTGCTTGTTGAAGATCGTTCCATCGACTGCGAGAATAGATCATAGCCAATAGAGATCCAGCAAAAAATCGGTCCCAAGGATCCGAATCCCAATCTGCCAAAACTCCATGGAAGGCTACCACATGTTCCACCAGAAAAGGATCTGCTTGCCTTGTTGGACCATTTGAAAGCTTGCTTGAAGCACCCATACATCGCTTCGATCTTGTCAGAGTGCTTACC